AAAAAAAAAAAAAAAAAAAAAAAAAAAAAAAAAAAAAAAAAAAAAAAAAAAAAAAAAAAAAAAAAAAAAATAATGAAAAAGCTTTACTGACAATTTTGTTATCCTACCAGGGGTACCCACATGGGGGTACCAAAGGGGCAAGTCGCCATCAATTAAGGGGGATACTTTCTTTACAAAAATATTTTAGATATTTTTTATAGTTTTCTAGGTGTAAAATAGACTTAGGGGATATTTTTGATTATTTAAGGGGTATTTTTTTAAAATTTGGCAGGAGGGGGCATTTTAAAAGATTTTTTGGTGTGTGATTTTGATTGGACTGAACCACGAATTTAAATTTTTCTCTTTTTTTGGGGGGGGGGATATTTTGTAAAATCATTTTTGGTGGAGTAATTTTATCAGTCATTTATATTTAACCATTCTTTAAAAGAAGAAAGAGATAAATTTGAAAATTTTGATGTACTGAAAAAAAGAAAGTGACGCATTTGAAGATGAAATTGATGCAGTTCTCTTATAGTTAATAATTTGAATATATATAAAAAAATTATTTACGGTTGTTTAACGACGGCTATAAAATAAAAAGAAATGTTTAAGTACCTTCATCTTTTAAAAATATTTAATTAAAATTTCATGCAAATAAGTTTAAAAATAACTTCTTATTTTACTAACTTATTTATTCTTTTATGAGAAATAACTTTTCTTCTGATGACTTTTTTAATTCTTTGCTACTCATTCTTCGTAATGAAACTAATTCATTTAATAAAATAGCATTCGATTTCAAAACTGTTAAAAAAAAATTCTAAAATTTATACAAATAAGCTTAAAAATAGTTGCTTCGAAAGCATTTTTTTTTTTTTTAATATGAGAAATAACTTTTCTTCTGATGACTTCTTATCCTCGGCAACCTTATTCCCAGTGAAAAAAAATAAATTATTATTAAAGTTGCCTTCTATTTTGAAACTGTTACAAACATTTGAATAGAATTTCATACAAATAGGTTTGAAAATAACCTATCATTCTTTCTCAACCTAACTTTTCATTCATTTATTTATTCTTTTTATGAGAAATAACTATTCTTCTGATGACTTCGAATCTTTGGCTGCTTATTCCCAGTACAAGAAAAGAACAAAAAATAATTTTAAGGAAGCATTCTATTTAAAAACTGATAAAAATTACTTAATTAAAATTTAATACAAATAAGTATAAAAATAATTACTTCCTAGCAAATTTTTATTTATTGATTTATTTTTTACGATAAATAATTTTCCTCCTAATGACTTGCAACGTATTCGCAATAAGAAAAATAATAAATTATCTTTGAGTCATCTAATGTTAAAGTAGCATTCCATTTTAAAACTGATAAAAAAATATTTAATTACAATTTCGTTCAAGAAATTTTAAAAATTAATGCTCCTATACACAGTTTTTTAATTAAATTTATTATTTTTATGAGAAATAACTGTTTTTTTGACTATTTTCGTTTTGCTGCTCATTCCCAGTCAGGAAAAAAGAAAAAAAACAACAATCGTTCTGTTATGGTAACATTTGATGCTTACAGGCAGTGGTTCCCAAATGGTGTTCCGCGGAACCATGAGTTTGGAAACCTCTGATTATATTTATATCCAACCTATAATTCATAATTTAGTTAACCTTACGGTTGACTTAAAGAAATTATTTCAAGTGAAATGCCAATGAAATAGAAATGGCATTTTTTTAAAAAAGAAAACACAATATTTCTAATAACAATATGTTGAATAAATTATGAGAAGAACAAGCATTTATGAAATATTGCATTAGTATTTCCTACGCTCTGTTCAAATCAAAATAAAATAATTTAAATTATTTTGTAAAGAAATATGTTTCGCCATTTTCAACGTTTATAACAGTTCTTTTAAGTTTTTACTTCGAAGTAAAATATAATTGGGCTTATATTATTCATTTTCAACTAATGTGTATACACCAAAAACAAATTTATAAACACTCTAGATCAGGGGTTTCCAACTTACATGAGGCCGGGGGCCACAATCAAAAACAAAAATCAAATGGCGGGCCGCAACTTTATCAAAATTTTATGCAGGACTCCTTTATGTTTGAAGGAACATTTAATATTACTGCCAGATTTTTACCAAGTTGTACAAATTTTTACCAAGTTGTATTGAATTACAAATTAAAATAAGAAGTAGATTTTTAAAAATATTTAATTGCATATTGAAAAATTCGGGCTACAATAACTTTAATGTGTTAACTTTAATGTATTAAACAATGTGCATCAGATATCTAATTGTTAAGATATAAAACTTTAAAAAGGTTGGTATTAAAACTTACGTAGTAGCACACAAAATGTTCAATGAGAAAATTGAGGTTTGTCTGCTGCAACCACCAGAGAATAGATAGTTACATTTTAAATTTAAAATTTACAAATGTGTGTGTAAATATTTTCGTCCAAAATGAGTGGTTTCAAAAAGTTAAATCGGAGAATTTCTTCGGGAAAATTTATGATACACACATGCTAAATTATATTCACAAAATACAAAAAAATTAAATAAAAAAGAGCAATTTTTGTATTTGAATAAATATTTTCTTGGATGCAAAACCAGTGAAATAAATTTTTTTGTACGGTTGGTATGTTAAATTTCACAGAAATGAAGAAATTAATTAATAAAATATTATTAACGAGAAATGTATTTTAAGCCCATACAGATTTTTTACGAAAATTGTCAGCAAAAAAATGACAACTAATATATTTTAGTTCGTGGGCCACAAAAAAAAGAAGCTTCGCTGTCTGGATGCGGCCCCCGGCTGCCAGAAGAACAAGGACTGCAAATTTAATTGTCGGACATAAAATTTGATACCTGATTTAAGATAATTAATGATAAAACGATAAAAAAAAATTCGTTCTTCTAATTAATTTTTTTTAAAATTTAGTCTTTCTTATTGGTTTTAACGTTCACTATATTACCCTAATAAAATTTATTTATAAAGTTGGGGTTCTGTTGAAAGAGGCTTTATTATTCAGGGTTCCGCTGTCGAAAAAAAATGGGAACCGCTGCTTACAGGTGTTCAATTTGTATTAAAAATTCTGCAGGAAATAAGAGAGAAGAATTTTAATCGAATTGGCTTTCGATAAAAGTCGCCGAGCACTTGCTTTGGCGACCGATAAGGTTTATTATTTTTCAAGCAACCCTACTGCAGCAAAGAAGAAACAGACGACGATGGATTTTACTGTAGTATTGGTTGAAATATAGGCGATGTCATTGCATATGTGTCTACTACTATTACTGAGGTGTTGATTGTGGATTATGTAGTGTTCCCGATGTTTGTTACTTGATATATATTGTAATATGTGAACACGGGGAATTATCTCAGCACAGTTTGGATATATTACAAGACACCTGTTTCCATCTTCTTCATCATCCATTTCTGATGTTGCTTCAGTTTTAGTGAAGCTGCAGGAATGGCCAGTGATAAAATCAAAGTCGCTATTCGTGTACGGCCCTTTAATCGAAGGGGTGAGTCATACATTTTAATCATTTCAATCATAAGTGGTGTGATTTTTATAGACATATATGTCTTGTTTATATTATCGATCATTTTCGTGCTCTGTTTAATTGACACTTGCAACTTGAAGGATTTTTTTTTTAAATGTTGCAATGAATTTTTATTTCGCAATATTTGGATGTAAATATTATTAATTGCTAATTTTTGCCTGACAGTATGATTTTTCCCCCCGAAGAATGATAAAAAAATCACATTTCGTGTGTTTATGTGTGTGATATTTTTTTTAGACAAATTATGACCCACATACTTAAGGGTCTGACCATTAATTACAAGTACCATTATAGCCTTGGGAATGCTATTAAAACAAGGTCGTAGCTCAAAAAAAATTTGTTTTAAAATTGTTTAAAAAAATCTATTTAAGGATTAACTATTTTTTAATAACTGATAAAATAATTTTTTTTTCTTCAAAAACACATCATATTTTAGGTTTACAATGCATATTTATAAATTTTGAAACAAATTTTATTCGAATTCAATTAGTACTTTTTATTTTATTTTCATTATTTTCTAATTAAAGTACTGGAAAAGCAAAAATTTGTGAAAACATCAACAAAAAAAAAAAAAAACCTTGCACTGAAATTTTTTTAATACCAATAAAATTTTTAAAAGGAATGAACAAGGTCGTACATAAAAAGAAAAAAAAAATTTTTTTTTTGGAAAAGGGGAGGAGTTTTGGAATATATTTGTAGATTAATTATTTTTTAATAACTAATAAAAAATTTTTTTTTTTCAGAAACACATCATATTTTAGGTTTACAATGTGTTTTTATAAATTTTGAAACAAATTTTATTCAAATACAATGAGGAATTTTTATTTTATTTTCATTATTTTCTAATAAAAGTACTGGGAAAGCAAGAATTTGTGAGAACATCCAAAAAAAAAAAAAAAAAAAGCCTTGCACTGAATTTTTTTTAATACCAATTAAATTTTTTAAAAGAAAACAAAGCATTCTTATATTTCAATCAATTCAGAAAATTGCTCTCAATCAAATTTATCTGTAAAGAAAATAGTAGAAAATTATGTCAATTAGTGCTTGGTGCTTTTTAAGTGCAATAGTAGATTATGGTGTTCTAAACACTGAAATTAGGCCTTTTATAATTTTGACTTTAGTTTAAAACAATTAATCTATAATTTTTCAGAATTAAATATTTTAAGTTAGCAATTCAATTAACCGTAAAATAATAGTTTCATAATTTTGTTAGGAATAAATCATATAAGAAAACAATTAATCTATAATTTTTCAGAATTAAATATTTTAAGTTAGCAATTTAATCAACCGTAAAATAATAGTTTCATAATTTTAGTTGGAATAAATCTTATAAGGTTTTAAGTAGGTTACGAGCAAAACCACAATAATTTGCTGCACAAGAGACATCTGGTTATAGCTAGTTAATATTTTTTCACGTTAACATAATTATTTTACTGATATATCTAAAAATTGATGAGAAGATAAAATCAAAGCTGAATTTTAAGAGAATATTTTGATAGTATGTATTAAATTTTTTAATGTTAAAGTGGACAGTTGGGACCAGTAAACTGCTTTTGGTATTACCTTTCAGAAGATTTTTCATTAATCTTACAGTATATTCTACATTAAAACATTTCATATTGTAATTGACAGTACATTTTTAAAGAAATATTAAGTTAATTCCAAAATTTTTCTCATTTTTGTTATTAGACACTAATTTCAATAAACAATATCTAGCAGTAAACAAATAATAATTGATTTTTTTATTCATTGTTATTTTCAAACTAAATTGCCTTTTATTAAATACTTAAAGTATAATACTACTAAATTCAAATACATTAATTCAAATGAAGTTGTGGGTATTAACCAGTGTTGTTTCAAATATTTTATTTGAAAAATGCTGTAAATTTCAATATTTTGTGCGAATTTTTTTTTTTGAAAATGACATTTGAAAGTGTAATGGAAAATGTTGTTTATAACTGCATTTTATTTGAAATTCCCTACTTATAGCCACTTAAAAGTAAGAGATAGTGTGATAATCCTATCCTTTACTAGCCATTGGGTAAACTAGTTAGCATATAGCGTAATTTAATGGTAAATAAAAAAGAAATTCATGGGTACTACATAATGCAAACACCATACATGAAAATAAAAATTCATTTTTATTCCATTTAAACTTTAAAGATTCTTCTGACTTTAAATAGAGATAGGTGGAGGGATTGAGGATTAGATCCTTGGTGGACAGGATTGGCCGACTAGGAATGGTAGACATTAATTTAGTTATAGTTTGTCCAAAGTAAGAACTCCCCTAGCCATTCGCCTGGACACATGGGGGTAACTATGGTAATGAAGTATAACTATTTCAAGTAGGGGCGTGGGGTCATTGCTTAGACAGGTTTTGCTAGGGTCAGTGTGGGAAAGGGAATTTTTTTCCTTCGGTCTTCAGTGTTAGCCCTAGACTGAAGAGAAGCTCTTCTCACTGAAATGAGCTATTCTTGTTTCCATAGCAGAAGACTGTCTCAGACTTTGTGGCTGGGGGAGTTCTTATAATAGACAAACTGTAGATGCTTGGAGATTTGAGTGTTTCATAGAGAACCCTTAAATATCACTTCCATATGTTGGAGAGAGTTGTAGGTATTTTGTCTATGATCAGCAGTGGGGAAAATGTCTATATGCTGCTGACAGGGTTACCCTTGTCGCAGCGGTATGTTTTTACCAGTGCGAAAAATGGTAAAAACCAGGAAACTTAACCAATATTAATTGACAGGTAGTGGTTTGTAATTTATAATTGATAAGAATATACACAACCCTTAAAATGGGCAGGCCACATTTTCAGAATGAGCGAAGACCATACCGCAAAAAGAGTTTTCAATGCCAGACCAGTTGGCACACGAAAAAGAGGCAGGCCGGATTTGAGATGGATAGATGACCTAGAAAAAGAACTTTTGGTCTTAAAAATTGGATAACACTAGCAGGAAAAAGGTTAGCCTGGAAAAAAACTTCTTGAAAAGGCGAAGGCCCACCCTGGGCTGTCGAGCTATTGATGATGATGATGATGCACTACCCTGCTATAATTGAAAAAAAAATATTTCCTTTTTTTTTCTTGGAAAATTCTTTTTCTCTACTTAGAGGATTATTTTATAACTTAAGAACTGTTTAAGTCATACGATTGCTCATATTTATAAATAAAGTTTAATGCTTTCTGAAGTTTGAGGGCCTAGCAATAAATTTCGAATGAAAAAAAAATGGGTTTTTGAACATTCTATGTCAGAAAATATAGCAATAAACTTGTACCGATTTCTTTGGTAATAATATTCAGTAGTTATACATATCGTTAAATGTCTTGAAGAGGGGAAATAGTGGGCATGATAGAATGAGGTCAACAAAAGGTGCACTCTATTTTATGGATTTCTAAAAACAGCAGAAAAAAATTTTCTTTTAGAGAAGATAATATTGATGATTGCTGACATATGTTTGCTTCATAAACATTAGGATTTAAGATTGAAGGAAGAAAACAGAGAAATGATATTCCTTTTTCACTTCTCCATAATACCAGAAATAAGATGAAATGTTTTTGTTTTTTTTATTTACTCATTTTTATTTTGTGAAATATTGTTCACTAAACAGCAGAAAATTGCATTTTCCCTCAAAATTCTGTCTCAATAGCGGATAGTAATTTTTAACTTCTTGAAAGCATAAATTTTAGCATAGTTAGCATTTTGACATTGATTTGGAAAATTGTTGCAATAGCGCATTTCTCATATGCAGTACTCCTCATTAAATAAAGTTTTCGCGGTATTATAGTTGATTTATGTCGGATTTCTGTAACAGAAAATATCAGAAATAGAGAAAAAGTTAAAAATATTGAATCAGGACAACTAGGACCCTTGAAAATTTTTTAGAACATTAGTTCTTAAAATTGATGTTTCAAGTTTCAGTACTGCCTCACATATAAAGCTTTTTTTTTCTTTCTTTTTTTTAATTTTTTTCGCAAGAAATAGCAACAACAATAAGTATATATATATTTTTTAAAAATGAGAAGAACATATTTCTTTTAATAAAATAGTAAAAACTATATATATATATATAAAAAAGAAACATTTGTCATAGAGAGCATAAACAATGGAGAAACAGGTTTTTCACTAGATGTTTAAAACTTCACATGGCAAATACTTAGACAATGAATGCAAAATATGTTTTTCAGTTTAAAAAAAAATAAATGAGCATTTTGAAAGATTAGGCCAAAATAGCCCCTTTTTATGTTAAGATTTCTATTTTAGCCTGTACCTTTTTCTATCTACGGTATCTACATTTAAAGATGAAGTTTGGAATATTGATAATAATTTTTCAGGAAACCAAAATTTATAATATTCGTTGAATATGCTAATTAATTAGTGCCAAGTACTAATTAATATGCAGAATCAGGCACAAGAATATACTTTTTCTGAATAAACATACCCTCCCCTCCTATTGATTTGGATTTTTGACAATCAAATATGGGGGGGGGGGGGGGGGGGAACCGCTATATAGAAAATATGGCACCAATAGTTAGGAGAGCATTTAACCTTCTTCACTTTTTTGCTAATTTCATCTTATCTTAGAAATTTTTTAAGCGAATTGAAAAATTTTTGCTCAAAAGATAAAAATTCTTAGCAGTTTTTTTTTTTTTTTTTTAAATATCTTTTTTATTATTATTTTGTTTAGTAATGGTCAAACAATTTTTTAATTGTAAGGTTATACTCGAAACATGGACCTTACAATTAAAAAATTATTTAAAATACAAGAAGATTAAAATACAAGAAGCGTCCGAAATCGGTCTAACAAGTTCGTGAAAAATGAAATAAGGCTTTTTTTTAAATCTTATAACTTAGAAAAAATTCAAATTTTTTCTCTCAAATTTTGTATTTTATCATTTAAATTACGCAGTTTGAAACGGTGTAAATATATATATACTTAACAGTTCAAAATTTTTCCGACTCTTA